ACCCATGTATCCCCGGGTTTTCCGCCGAGGCATCGGCGTTTCGAGGGGGGGGGGGGATATACCCTTGTATCCCCGGGTTTTCTGCCGAGGCGTCGGTGCTTCGGCGTCCCGTTCTCGCATGGTGTGCATCACCGCTGGCGCTGCTGGCTCTCTCTGTGGAGCTGTGGAGACCCCCGAGAGATGGCAGACACCCCGCACACTACAGGGTCATCATCGCAATCTTCACATGCATACATACCCCAGGGGCAGCCGCTATAGCCCACCAGTCGCCCGTCCGTGTGGCCGATTGGTCAAGTCAAACATAACCCTACAAGAAGACCAAGGCTACGAGTAGATTTGCGAGACTATGTTGTTCCCTGTTGTGCAGTTCTATAGATGATAGAGGAGGCGGCAAGGGCAAGTTTGCAAGGCAGGTGGTTCAATGTGAAAGCTGGTCAATGACCTGTTCCAATTGATGAATGAACTGAATTCGAGCTACTACTACAGTATATAATATTACTACAACTATTTTGGCGGCTTACGCCGCCACGCCCAACGGAGCGAGTCCCAAAGTACATGGAGGCGGTCGTGTGTGGATCGTGGAAGGCTAACTCGACGTTATGTGTCGTAGAGTATGCCCGTATGGTGCGCATGTCTATAGCGTGATAACATGTAGACGATGGCATGTAAACATAGGTGTGAAGTGCAAGTGTATTGTTGCAGAATCGAAAACATAAGGGTGAAGTGCAAGTGTATTGTTGCAGAATCCAATGGCCACGCGCAGACACACGCTAATCCTAGATTGCGACACGCAGACGACACTCTGGCACGCAGACAAACTCGCCTCGCAAAAGGCAATCGACACACCTACACCCAGGACAGTCCTATATGGCGACACGCAGCCTACAGTCTCGACCACCAACAAGCGACAACGACCGCGCCCAATGATACGCGTACGACTAAAGAAGGGACGAACTCCCACGCGTCCGACGCAACAAAGGTCATTCACACAGCAGGCGTGTACCTACGGTAGCACGCAAACGCACATGCACTTCGTTCATGTTGCCGATTACGCGAAGGCGACACGCTTAGGTCCAAAGGAACGAGAAACTCCCAAGCATCCTACGCAACAAAGGACAGCAGGCGTGTAACAACGCACGCTAATGCGCAATTCGCAACTCCGACAAGACGATGGTTAGCGCGTAGCACACGCGCAGAGGAAGCTGCAATCGTGAGAAAGCAATACCATTGCTGCCGACTTTAGTCTTGAAGCGAATGCGTGGGATGAGAACGAGCGTTGAGAGACCGTCTAGTAGTTCTACATGCACAATGCGTGTTGAGTAT